CATATTAATAGCACTTTGTTGACACTTTTTCTTTGTAATTTACTCACCTCATTAAATATAGAATACGCCAAACACATTGACACCGGATGCAGCGGCTTGTAGTGATTACCGAATGTGTACATATACCAAAGTCCTGGCGCCGGAAATATCACCGTCAGCATATCACATATCGCCATGGCTGAAAATATGGGAAAAGTGTTCATGTATGAAAATACATATATATATGTATACATATAGATGTGTAATTAGTGAAAATATGATGGCAGCAGATATCAGTTTACAAATTACATATATAGATTTTAAAATATTTGCTTTTACCTTTTATGTATATTTGGTGTTGTTGGTCGCATAAGAAGTATGGCCATTATAAAACGACAATATCTCTAATAATACTGTACAATAAAATCAAAGCTTTTCTAAAATAACGAGGTTTATACAACGGCTTCTGCCGCATTACAGGCTCTTCTGTGTCAGTAGTGTTTGTCCGATACCACCTTGTACGCGATGCTTGGACTCATTAACAGAAACGAAGAGAATACTCGATACCACTCAAAGTATTGCTCGAAAATACTCGACTCTACTCATGATACAAACAAGAAGGTAGTTTCAATAAACAACTTTTGACGGATAATAAAATTTTTTGAAGTTCTCTAAATTGTGAGTATTATCAACGGCCTTACCACTTTGGTAATATTAAAACAGTAAATCGGAGTATTTTCCTTCCCATATTTATACCAATTTAATAACATTTCAAATCAAAAACCATTGTCACCGCTTGGTATGTTTTTTTGTACTTCCAGATAAGTTAGGCAACGTAAGTTTCAACTACAAACATGAAAAAATACGCTTCTCTTCTCTTCTATTGGATCTTCACGGGGTCATCTTCAAGCCATTGACTACCTCCTGGACTCGGTTTTCTATCGAATTTGGAGGCTGCCACACAAAGAAAGCGCGAAAGATTGTACTAGGTTTTTTTATGGAACACCTGGGACAAGGGATAAGCCAAAAGATCCTGTAATAGTTCTTTCTGCACATTTTGATGCATCCTAATTGGAGCAAGATTCACTGAGAGTGATCCAGCGATCTAAAAAAATTGAAATGCGTTCGCTCTGAACGTGTGGTGAGTTGATGTGCTTTAAAGGAGAATACCTTTGACATTAGCTTTTGAAATCTATCTGCCCTTCAAGCAGAGTTTTTGAG